TCTTTCTTTCTTTCTTTCTTTCTTTCTTTCTTTCTTTCTTTCTTTCTCTCTTTCTTTCTTTCATAATTCATAAATATGGATTGAAGGACAATAACCAGTAATCAGACCTATAACCTATAACAAACCAATGGCTCAAGTTGGTCCTGGGCTGGGGCTTTCTCTCTTCAATTTATGGCTGTTTTGCTGGGAATTAGCCTCCTTATTAGGTGTCATCTACTAAGGTAGATATAACAACTTTCACCCATCCAGGAAAAGGTCCATAGACCTCACACAAAAGCCTCCAAATAAAGCCTGATTGGCCAGAAATAGCCTGGTGTGAGTTATGTAGTCCTTGCTCCAACCAGCCACCATGGCCAAGAGGACAGATTGTGATGATCAGCTTAGCGATGGCATATTGCATGAAATTCTATTAGAGATAGAATTTCTCTGAGCTATGCCCAGAGAAGACCTTTGCTACCATATATGGTACCTTCAGAGAAACTGAAATAAGGCTGCTCCTTTATCATGGGAGCCTCAGCCACAAGGCTCCAGGAAGCAAAGCAAGCTGGACTTTACTCTGTCCCCTTAGTTATGTGCTCTTCTACCCCTCACACAAACTACACAACCCTGCTGCTCTGTGGCCTGCCATGGGCTTTGAGTGGGGCAGATTGCTTCTTGACCCAGGTGGCCAAGATGCTTCCTGTGAGCAACTCTGCCCTAAGGCCCCACTTGTAACACCTTAGGGTTAGGAGTCTGAGCGGAGATTGGAGAAGCACGTGAGGGAAGGAAAAAAAATACTCACCCAGTGCAGCGGCACACACCTGTAATCCCAGAACTCAGGGAGGCAGAGGCAGGCGGATCTCTGTGAGTTTGAGGCCAGCCTGGTCTGCAAAACTAACTCAGGACAACCAAGGCTACACAGAGAAACCTAGTCTTGAGCCCTATCCCCACCAAAAAAAGAAGAAAAAAAAGCAAAGAAAACATTCAATGTGGTATTATCTTGTGCCTTGTGCCCTCGGAGTCCAGCTGTGGTGGGTTATTACAGTGAAAACAATGACTATGAGATCATGCTGCCCAGGATCTGGCTGACTTCTCTAAGTTAGATGTCATGTTTTCTCAGGGATTTGAGGATTAAGTTAAGATATGGTGAAGCGTTTGGAAAGGGGTCTAGTCAATTATTAACAATGCTATCGTCATCCCATGAGGTGTCATAACTGGCTGCTCGAATACTGTGTCAAATTACAATCGACCAGGCCACAGGGTATGGGAAGACAGAAGCAGGAGAAATCTTGGCCTGCAGAGGGCTCTGTGCAGGAGCCTGCCTAGCTCATAGGTGATGATCCAGGCACAAGACAATGAAGGAGATGCTGTGTGCTAGCAAAATCTATTGCTGTGACAAAAAAGCCTTCCAGGCTTCAACTTCTCCACACAAAGAGGCCTTTGAACGAATGCTTCAAGGTCTAGTTCAATGTGGATAACTAAAGTGAAGGGTAATTAGGACTTTAGCATTCCAATTCATTTCCTTCAACTAGGTATGAGACAAAGTAGGTCTGCTCACCTTTGCCCACAGCGACAAGCTGATGACCCTGGAATGAACAGCTCACTCTTGTTCAACTTGTATCTGGATCACGTAGTTCCCTAAATCAGTGTCAGTCTCTGAGATCACTGGGGCGGCTACAAAAAGTAACAGCGAACATAAAAATAAAAGGATGTGCACAGTGATGATGGGTCAGTGTGTCCTACTGGAGGGCGGAGCCAGTCTGTGGTCAGGGCACAGAAGATACAGATATGTAAACAGGTGTCAAAAGTAGAGTTTGTGACCAAGATCCATATCCTTTTCTTCAGCCTGGGGGCCCCATGAAGGAAGCTGAGAAGGCAGTTTTAGGGACAAAGTTCAGACACAATGGAATCTTGTAGAAGCCTGAATTTGTGAGTATATTAGAATTAAAGCCTCTTTAGGTTCTAGATTAGAGCACTAGAGAATAGCAAATATCCCGTTGGCTGATTGTTCCATACCAGATTTCAAATACTTTGTTACATTGCATTTATTTGTTTTGTAAATGTATGCATATGTGTATGCATGTGAGTGGAGGCCAGAGGTTAATGTCAGGTATCATCTTTACTCCCTCGCTACCTTATTTGTTGATGCTGGGTCTACACTGAGCCTAGACCTTGCCAATTTGGCTATAGGGGCTCGCCAACAGGCCTTGGCAATTCTCCTGCTTCTGCCTCCTCAGTGCTAAGGTTACTGGCAAGACTCTACTCTGCCTTTTTGCTATCCACAGTGTCCTTGAGAGGTAGCCATTGTGGCGTTGGACTCCCCCAAATGCCTCTGCCTCTTCTCTCTCTCTGCCATCTGCAAGATAGCCTTGCAGATGTTCCACATTTACAATAAACCTTCTTCCTACCCACGGAGTGGTCTAGTTTGTTGGTTTCACACACACTATCCCGAGTTTAGAATTAGAATATGGTAACCCAGAAGTTTTCAGTGAAACAGCTCTCCTTTATTGCGAAGAGGGGGCAGGGAATAAGGGCTATATAAACCTTGGGAATGTGGGTGGGTATTTTTGGGGTGAGTGTATCTCAGAGGTGCTGAGTATGCTTCATT